AAACAAGCACAGAAGATAGGTAAATAAAGTTTTATTTATCAACATATTGAAATTAAGAAACACTTTACCGTACCCAAGTTTACTATCAGTGAACACACGCATGCGGTACGGTAACTGAGAGTTTATATATGGTGCATACTGTACAATTATTGAATTATATATTTACATGTGTTCACATGTAAGTAAGCGACTTATTAAAAAGACTCGTTTATTAATTTATAGATTCTGAAGGAGCACAGCATATAGAAACTTTGTGTGGATGGTTTATGGACAACTCGGAAATAGATATTTTTGCGCATATGAGAAAATAATGCCTGCTATTAATGAAGACTTTGTGAGATTTGTAGAGGACAGCTCTAGATATCATATAATTATTTTTCAATAAATAAACCTATTACACTGTATAAGCGTAGTAATATTATATGTATTGCGTGTAGAAACAGCACATTTGCTATATTCATGACTTCAATATTGTTTGCCAAAGAGACTGAAATTTGAGATTAAGATTTGTATCTGATGTTTTCCTGCACTTCGTGCGTGCGGGTTAATTTGTGTAAAGTGTTGCAGCGCGTTTAGGAATTTTTCTGACTTGTATTTCGTTCCAGGTACTGCCTTATACTAGCAAATGTGGCAATGACTAAGTTATTTCATTAAGTTGCTTCAACGGAATATACTTTGTAGTACATTTTATACAGACCCCACAGTGTATCTGGTTTCATGCCACAATTTGTTACAAAATCTGCATATTGTACGGGTGTTCACTGCGGTGCAAACACAACGAGTGTATATATGTATAATTTACTGCGTCAAGTTTACTTATACAATTCTACTTTACTTGTCTAAACTAAAATACAAACAGTACACATTGCTTGTAATGTAGACGTAAGAAATTGGCTTTCGTCCGCTATATTTTGACCATATTTGCTCATAGTCCGCATAGCTATATTGTCGCGATATTTTATATTTCTGGTGAATCCATTGGCTGTGACTCATTTATATTTATCGCGCTTTCCAGTTTCGTGACTATGACCATATCGGTTGACTGCATCGGTTGACTGCATCGGTTGACTGCATCGGTTGACTGCATCGAAGCAGCTTCTTAATACAACCTATTTAAATAACGAATTTGGAATAAAAATTGCACCAGGCCATATTCAAGTGCATGATAAACGAAATTAGAGTATCAATTATACATATACCATTCTCTTGGCTCTCGCAGACAAAGGTTTGTCGTCGACAGTATTTGTATATTTTGGAATTGCAGCGAAACCAATTTCGTCGGTAGCTAACCGTGGTCTTACCCGCAAACTCTATCTTCGCAAAGTATGCTGAACATTGGATCTCATTGCTCGTTTAAGGTGCACGAAGTCAACCCGTCTCCTTTTCGCTTCGTGCATCTCGCCTCCAGTATAAGGTATAAAATGAAGTGAAAATGCCTTTCTCTGTATTTGTGACATTAGAACAACCGCCTACTACACATATATTCGGCAATTTTTCAGTTTCGTGACTTTTATTTGCGCTATTGCCCCCTCTATGATAGTACATACAATAGTATTTCTATATTGGTGAGCTAGATAAGTCCCTACTATTACGTCACACGCATTGTTTCGTCCCAGTCTCTTTTGCGCGGTTTTCAGATTTTTCACAAGGCCAAATTCAATGTTTAAACGGCAATAACTTTTACACTAAAAAAGCAATTTCGATTCTGTTTTCGAATTTCCGTATATTTTGTATCATAGATTTCGAAAATATAAACTCTCATTTTGTGACAGGGACACTTTAAGTTTACTATGCATGGTTTTTGCAGCAGAACAAAACCCATTGCAGAAGGGTTAAAATCGCCTGCTAGGATAAATGAGGTATTAAAACGTTCAGAAATTAGTCTGTCGTAACAGTGGTAGATGTGATCGTAGAAATGTTTACATTTTTGGATGGCTATTCGAGAAATACGTCTTGGTAGCCATGTGGGTCGAAGAATGATGACCCAAAGACATTCAAATACTGAAACAAAGACATTCAAATACTAGTAATCAGTGGTGTCAGGTAACGAAGTAAATGTACTTCGTTACTGTACTTAAGTACAATTTTTAAGAAGTCAGCATGTAACAAAGTAAACTTTTTCTGCAGTACTTTTACTTGGAACGAAGTCGTTTTAAGAAGTAACGTTTTACCTCGTTATTTTCATTTTATGGCGAAGTATTTCGTTACTTTCTATTACTTTTGTTTAATTTTACGTGATTGTTTTTCTGATTTATTTTATTTTGGGATTGGTAATACGACCTCTACATGCGTCTGGGATTTCTCATTTGTGGCTTACTTATAAGCATTATTTTTAATGGATTTCTTATATCTTCAACGCGGTCTGGAAAGTAAACAATGCCGTGAAATATTGTATGTTTGGAGCATATAATGCGTGTGCTGTTTTGTGTTTTTTGTCTGTCAATCCATTGGAGAAGTCCCCCTTTACACGCTACAGACAATAGTACTTTTACTTTTACTTTGTATTTCAAGTATTTTTTAAGGATTTTTACTTTTTACTTAAGTACGTTTTGCTTCCAGTACTCTTATTCAAGTCGTTTTATTGTTAATTACTTCTACTTTTACTCGAGTACAAATTCAAAGGAATTTAGGCACCACTGCTAGTAATGTATACATTTTGTATCACAAAGCGTCAAATTCTTTTAACCCAACATTTCTATCAAAGCATTAACTCGGAACCCTCAATATTCGCTATACAATATTCAAAGTAGTTAATACAGAAGTAAAATATTTTCTTTGATGTATAATTTCGGTGATAAATTATAAAAATCTAGCCAGTATTTGATCGGCTGCCGGTTACGTTTGCGGGTTGGCTTCTAGCTTTAGTTCAGTTACGTAATTTCGAGCAATGAGAGATGACGTAAAGTACAAATAATACTTGTCTCTAATTGGCCAAAGCTAGTGTCCATGATCTATGGCCGGGTGGCTATCGGAAATTGGAGAAAACCCAATAAAGGACAACTTTGAAGTCGCAGGAACAGATGCCCCAGCGACCAATTCGACATCGGATTTTTACAATATCGAATATATACATCAATTATAGCACTCAAGAAATGAATAATATACTACAGTCTTATGGAGTTTTATACATCGTTCAGGCTCAGTTGACAAGAGCGAAATACATATTTATGCTTTTAAAATGTCTATGTATTGTCTTACAGAAATTCCCATATAGCCCAAAACAGCAGCTGTGTTCAATCAAATGCCACTGCGTGTAATCAATGAATGCGCATAATTATTAAAGGTAAGTCACTTACTTTTCTATGAGACATTGGGAGATCGAACACAACAGCGCGGTTTAAAATATAATAATCGTCATACCCAGGACGGGTTGGAGGACAAAACTAGTAAATTCTTGCAGTCGAGTAGTAAAGAAAGGTCACATGCAGAGGAAAGTTTTAGCAAAGTGCCGCTTGTGCTTTTAACCAGGATTGTAGTTTGCTACAATATATTTTGACAACTGAACTCCAAAGGGTTTATGAATTATCATGCAGTAGTTAGTGAGACAACCGCCGACGCTGAAACACCTATACAAACTTTAATACAGGCTAGCAGTTGACCAATTTCTATTCTATTTCTAGAACAAATTTTGTTATGGCAGAATCGTTGTCGGATACTGGGAAGGCTTTAAGTGCTAATGTAGCGTGGGACGCTCTTAGTGGTGAATTTTCGATCAACATCTCCACTGGCAATGTACAAGTAGCACGAGACTTGTGCAAAACTATAACTAAAGTAGGGGAAGTAACACGAGACGTAGCACGAGACTTGTGCATTACTGCAGTCTCCCTAGGTGCTCTCTACCTTGGTTATAAATTAGTAAAACCACTAATCGAGACTGCGGTTAAAAGAGGTCTTGGTGATGAACGAGATGACCAAGAGGTTCGAGGTATCCGACCAGGATCTTTGCATGTTCTATTACATTGTTTTACAGACGAGAGATTTCTGGATGTCTTAGCAGATTATGAATCGGGAAAAATGAAAGAACGCTTGCAGGAAGAGTTATTACAGATTGGAATTAAAGTAGAAGGATTGAATGTGGAAATTGAAAACATGATAGAGGTGAACGAAACAAAGGAAGCCATAAACAAGAGGTATATGATAGATGTTTTATAAAAAATATAACTAGTGCTGCCTGCGTTTTTAATTTCAAATACGAGACTTCTAACTAGCTTTCATCCTATAGCTAAACATCATCGTTCTCAGGCCCACACGATGTAATTTTTTCTTGAGGATATAAACAAATGTACAGTTTATGGGAATGCTAACATTGTTGTATAAAAAGGGTAATGTCTTTTTCTATCTGAAAAGAATAATTGTTGGAAAAAATTTGCATTGGCATTTTTTAACGCAGATCTCATATCAACAAGGATCTTTGTGAGGACGTAAAAAATATTGTAACAGATGATGCGGAGAGTGATTTGGAGATAAATGTGCAGGTAAGTATAAAAATTTAAACTATAAATAAAAATCTCGCTCGTGTAACGGTATACGATTTTCTCGATCGACAACGAACCGTCTCACCTGCAATTTGTCTTAAAATGGTTGTATGAAACAAAAATTTACCCTATGGACTGTTGGTGTGCCTAAAATGAATAAAAAATGGCAGTTACAGATTTACAGTTTATTCAATTGTTATCATGTTTCCGTTATGACAAGGTGTTTTCTGAGCCGAGTCACTGACCATGTTTAACGCATCAAGTTGCATTGCGCTCTAGAGAGGCCTGTGGAGGAGGCTACAGTGTGCTCGAATGCGCCTGATACATTATTATTTTACTCTGTCTATACGATAGACGATTTTTCTCGTCAAGAGGAGAGCGTTGGCGTTCAGTGAACTGGTTATAATCAGACTATATGCCAATGTAACTAGTTATAAGTCATTAAGGTTATAGGACACCCTTTTTGGCGTTTTGCGGAAAATCGCTACTGTGCGCTCAAAATCAGTCCGACTTTCATCAAATTTTTACCAAATGTTCGCCAGTGCATGCAAAATATGGTAAAGTTATAAAATTAACAAACAATAAAATAATGTAAGAATTATTCAGGAAAATCTTAAATCGCGGTACCGTTACGCTTTTGAGTTATGCTCCTGCTGGTTTTAAGTTATATTTATGAAAATATCATTTTTAAACAGTAAAATAGTTGTTCTAAAAAATTGTGTTCGGAAATTTTTGTTTATTTCGTCATTCCGCTGATATGGCGATTTCTTTGACGACTGCAATATATTTCTGAATTGTTTGAGTGAATTTCTCTTTATTATTAAAATATCCAAAATTAGAACAAAACCGAACATTATTTTGAAACTGACGTCGTTAGCTATGTCCTGTGAAAATTTGAGAGAAATTCGTTAAAACCCGCAGGAGCACAACTCGTTTGAAAATCAGTAATTGCCGTAAAATTCTTCGGGAGAAAATTGAATTTGAATATTACATTTTCAATGTTTTTCTTATTGCAGCGAAATGTATTTTATTAAATAACTCTGCGAGTTTTCAACATTTTTCGTTCAAACTTGGTCAGGTAGTAGAACTAGTCTAATGCTTTCATGGAAACCAATAAAAAAAATTTAGGCAAAATTAACACTCAAAGGTGTTCTGTAACCTTAAGTTGCATTGCGTCGTAATGCGCCATACTTTATTACTTTATTACTTTACGATTTTAATTTTAATGGAAAGCGTAAACAAGGCGAAAGAAATGGTCAGTTTATGTGGTTTAATTCGAAACACAACATCAAATGCCACGGTTGACAAAACATATAACGGTTTCCGTCGCATAATTGATACAAACTGACTTCCGGAAATCACTTTGAGTAATATTCAGAAGCATTAAATCCAAAGAATTAAACTCGACGGAAAATTCGGCGTCTAAACTAGACCTAAGATGGAATATAGCAGTAATTGGAATTAAAAAAGTCTTGATATTTACATACGGTAAAAAAGCGATATTTCATATTCCCTTCAGTTCTCATCAGTTCTAACTAATTAATTAACTTAATTAGACAGTAATTCCTGCGATTTCCATTTATTACTATAATTCGTGCAGGGGCAGCGCTAGACGTCTTCGAACAGGGGGAGAGGGAGGGGTGTAAGGAAATTTTGCCGAGTCATTCTACCTATCCAATTCATGTTTTCCCGACTACGAAAACAATTTGCCGACTCGGGTGCAATAATTTGCCGATTACCCAACGACTGCGGCATGAACACCCCCCCCACACACACACACACACACACACACACACACACACACACACACACACACACACACACACACACACACACACACACACACACACACATACACACACACACACACACACACACACACACACACACACACACACACACACACACACACACACACACACACATACAACATCTCCTATAGCGCCATCCCTGAGTTCGTATAAATGTATAATTATGGACTTTTGACTGATAAGTAAAACAAGACCAGGTATATCGCACAAGGTACATTACTGCACGAACGGATAGAGTACTGATATGTAGGCTAGTAACTAATGTTTTGCGAAGACAACGATTTAAACAATTGAACAATACGTGCATCTGAAAGATTCAGTTAATTCGGTTGAATTATTTCCAAGATATCAGATGTTCCCGTTTTGGTAATCGTCTCAACAAGTTTTTAGCGGGCCTGTTTACACTTGCAATATTTGCTGCGATTTCCTACTTCTGATGGATGTGAACGAGTGGAAGAATTATGAATGTTGAGATGAGGGTACATATACTCGGAGCATCAGAAGACCAAAATCGCAGCTAAAATCATAATAAAAATAATGTAAACAGACCTTTTGAATACATCAATCTTTGAATGTTTGCGTGGTGATGAAGGTACCACAAGTCCTAAAAATTTTTTAATAAAGTTTATTGCTCGCCGTCAATTGAGTGTCTTGTCAATTGTCGTCAAATTTCGTTAAAAAAATTTAAACGAAAATTAAAATAAAAAGATTAGCTCCCTTCTTAAATACGAAGCCACTAGCCTCATAAATTCATAGTTGTCATTCTCAAGTTGTAGGATTCCAATGTCCAATAGCATTTTTGGCAAACGAAATCCTTTCAGACGATAATATAACTTACCCAACCATGCTACCTTCTGTTATTAGAGTGAAAAAGAAGAGAAAATGAAAAACAACGATTCACAATTGGCTGCGAAACAAAAAGCTCTTGAAAGAATTTTAAATATTCGTGGAGAAGATCATTCAGACACTGCTCGAAGTTATTACAGTATTGGTTTAACACAACATAAGATGAAAGATTACAACTCGGCGTTGGAGTCCCATCAACATGCTCTTCAAATCAGATTAAAATTGTTTGGAGAAGACCATTCTGACACTGCTAGCAGCTATCACTGCATTGCTGTCGCACAACATGAGATGAAAGATTACAAGACAGCGTTGGAATCACATCAACATGCTCTTCAAATAAGATTAAAACTGTTGAGCCAAGACCATTCTAGCATTGCTCGAAGTTATTATAACATTGGAAACACACAATATGAGATGAAAGATTACAAGTCAGCGTTGGAGTCACATCAACATGCTCTTCAAATCAGATTGAAACTGTTTGGACAAGACGATTCTGACACTGCTCTAAGTTATTACAACATTGGAAACACACAATATGAGATGAAAGATTACAAGTCAGCGTTGGAGTCACATCAACATGCTCTTCAAATCAGATTGAAACTGTTTGGACAAGACGATTCTGACACTGCTCTAAGTTATTACAACATTGGAAACACACAATATGAGATGAAAGATTACAAGTCAGCGTTGGAGTCACATCAACATGCTCTTCAAATCAGATTGAAACTGTTTGGACAAGACGATTCTGACACTGCTCTAAGTTATTACAACATTGGAAACACACAATATGAGATGAAAGATTACAAGTCAGCGTTGGAGTCACATCAACATGCTCTTCAAATCAGATTGAAACTGTTTGGACAAGACGATTCTGACACTGCTCTAAGTTATTACAACATTGGAAACACACAATATGAGATGAAAGATTACAAGTCAGCGTTGGAGTCACATCAACATGCTCTTCAAATCAGATTGAAACTGTTTGGACAAGACGATTCTGACACTGCTCTAAGTTATTACAACATTGGAAACACACAATATGAGATGAAAGATTACAAGTCAGCGTTGGAGTCACATCAACATGCTCTTCAAATCAGATTGAAACTGTTTGGACAAGACGATTCTGACACTGCTCTAAGTTATTACAACATTGGAAACACACAATATGAGATGAAAGATTACAAGTCAGCGTTGGAGTCACATCAACATGCTCTTCAA